ACTTAAATATAGGAAGGTGGGTAAAGGTGGCTAATCAATGCATGAAGGTTCTTTCGAGGACGAACGGTATTATCAAACAACTCTTCATATGCTTGATTGAGATAAGAAAAAGCCTGTTTAGCCATGAGAACTGAATTGGTCTTTTCGAATGCTGAGATAGTGAGCATGTTCAAGGAGTTAATGCAAATGTTCATTAATGAATGACGATTATGTTTCTAAAAATGCAAAACCCATGCACGTTCTAAGACGTGGGAAATGCCTTGATCCACTAATATCACCAAGTATTGGTTATATTAGTACGGAGAGTAATGTTGGCTATATATTTTGTACGGGCCAATCACAGTTCGACGCATGGCAAAATAAGGACAATACAGGAAGACTATTCAAGTCTTCAATCATAATCACACACGTTGCAGTTAGTATTGGTTTGTGCAGATCTGTGTAGCACTGAATCAGCAAAGAAATGCAAGTTGACGTGGCTTCAACGGTTATTCATATTTAAATTCAAAATCGAGAGGGAAACCTAACTGTAGAGATGGCATAATAGAGCTAACTATAAGGCAACATGATCAGTAATCATGGAAGCATGATTCGACGGTTAGAAATGCAGATCAACAGTTGCCATTAAGAAATATAAATAGCAAAGAAGGCCCCAGAAAGCGCCCCAGACTCAGATCCAGAAAACCAGTTTATATCTACTTTACTTTATTTCCAGTTCTTGCATTTCTTGTCCTTCATATTTCTGTACTTCAGATTCTTGTACTGCATTTCGTTCATAAGAGTAGTTTCAAGTAGATTGTTGTTTTAAATCTCTACGAGACTGAATTGGATCATTGTAAGTCTTTCGTTTTACTTAATGAAATACTTCAATTGTTCTTTATTTAATCATTGTCAGTTTATTCCTCCTAACCAAAGCCACCAGTAAAAGTCCTCTTCATTGAGGCTGAAAGAACTAAAACACAATCGTCTGATAATTGGTTGGCAATTAAATTTCTGTAAGGACTGATTGATCCTGGCTAGCACGCTCAAAATTACTGTAATAACCTTCGAAAGCCAAAAAGCCAACAAAAGGACAAAAGATTTGTGTTAAAATCACAAAAATACTTAGCATTACATTACAATAACTAATAAGTATCGCTTGATCCTCACTCTTCTTGTATTTTTAGAAGCAAATAAATCAATCATACTTGCATAATCTAATTTTTTTGCAAAATCATTTTCACTGAATAACAGTGCTAATTATTTTAAATGGGCCTTTCAATTTTTTAATGGATCAATTTATTTTAAGTTAATTTGGGCCTTCCTTAATTTTTTTTGGATTTAAAATATACTTAATATATTAGACTAAACTATAATAAGAGATTTTTGGGTCTATTTTCAATGGATAACAATGTTAATTTTTTTGAATGGCCTTTTAATTTTTTAATGGGTCAATTTATTTTAAGTTCGTATGGGCCTTTTTTAATTTTTTTTAGACTTAAAACATACCCAGTATGTTACACTAAATTATAATAGGTAGGGGCCTTTTTTTTAGTCTATTTTGAGGGTTCTTAGGCCATGGCCTTGTAGCCTATGCCCCAAGGCCGGCCCTGATAAAATTTAAGGTCTCGAAACCACCTCAAAAAGCCACTATAACTTTACTTGGTTGTTAACTTCAAAACTTCGGGATTAATTGTGATACGTATAAGCTGATCTAGATATCTAGTTATTAAAAAAACAAAATGCATTGGTTAAATCTTATTCACACGTGTCATTCTATGTGATAAATTTTTGTAATCAAAACAATAAGTTATTTGGTAGTCTTAAAACATTATTTCACTTTATTCATTGAAGAATAAGTATCTAATTGTCTCTTAAAAGAAGACAAAAGATGATAAATCTCACTATTTCATCCAATAAAAATAAAGTTGGAGCACCGCATTAGCATGACCTAGAGCAAAAAATAAAATTAAAATTTTTGTGTATATTTCAATTCAAGACAGTTTAAATTTTAAAATTAAAATAAAATTTAAAAATTTTAATTAATTAATTTTTGTATAAGTTGGTTGGTCCTTTGACCTAGCTGATAGGGCGAACCGTTTTCGGTTTGACTGATTCACTAATTTAACTGTGATTTTAGCGGTTTTACCAAAATATATTGGTTAAATTTGTTTGTTTCGAAATAAATTAAAGATTGACCTAATTAAATATTAAACGGTTAAGATTGCTTGATTCGAAATAAACTTCTCGCTCAAACAATTGTTAACTTTTAAACAATTAAGAAAATCTTCATTAGCTAGATTTCGTTTAACTTTTATTTTGTAATCCCACATAGAAAAAAGAAGGAAAAAATAAATTGTTTCATTTACATAAAGTGAATCTTATACTTCCATTTATATAAACAAAATGAAATTTTTAGTAAGAAGCCTTATGATCAATATCTCATACTAATTTTTTTAATTTTCTTAATTTTAAATAATTAAAAAAATCTCAATTGACTAGCTTCTATTTAACTTTTATTTTACAAAATATAAAAAAATTAAATATAATTATCATATTTTTATCAAATAATATATTATTTTATCTCGTGCAATTGGGGATTCAAATCCTAATGAGCTGGTTTGGGTTGGAGTTGAAAGTTGTTCAAAAAATCAAAAAGTATGTTTCGAATTGGGGTCTCTCTTTGATAAATGCTTCAACAAGGATCTCTATTTCACAACAAATTGTGATAAAAAGTGAATGTGTGGTTCGACTGTCTTTCATTACATCTCCTAATTGCACCTCTATGGAGATAACAAATAATAGAGATCTAAATAATAATTATTCCTTAATTGATGGATTTCAAATGGAAAGATAACAAAAATAATTATTATTATTTTAGAAATAATTATTATTATTATTTTAAAAATAATAATTATTCCTTAATTTATGGATTTCAAATGGAAAGATAATAAAATATTCCATAAGCTCCCCCATCATAATCTCTCTTACCAATTTTCAAAAAATTAAAATCTTTCTTCCTACTATTTCTCTTCCTTCCCAAATTATCTCTCTGATGAAAAAACCTATCTACCTTATGTAGATCTAATAATTTTTTTTTAATTACCATATGCAACTTGCTTATCCCTAAAGAGGTTATATCATACAAGAGAATATCACACTATTTTTATTATTTTTTCTAAAGTTGTTAAATTAGTCAATATTGAATTTTTTTCCTACTCATTACATTTTTATTTTTCAACAATACTATATTTCTCCATTCTTTTACACCACATCACTTTCAATCTTTTTTTTTTTTTCTTGAAGATCTATACTATTTTTGCTTGAAGATCTATACTCCTTCCGTTCCAAAATATTAATCTCTTATTTCATTTTTTATTATTCCAAAATATTAGGCCCTTTTCAAAAACATGGACCAAAATAATATGAATTTCTTATTTTGTCATTCTTTTAAATTCATTAACAACACAAAAAATACAATTATGACAATTGATATTTTCAAAAAAATTATACTATCAAAGGGTAATTTTGAAAAATTAATATTTTTAAAGTGCAATACTTGTACTATTAAAAAAAGTTAAATTTCCCAAAATGGGTTATTATTTTGGAGGGGGTACTATATATATAAGTAAATATAGTAAGTGTGCTCTTAGACATCCAAATCTCTATTCTTAATTTTCTAAAAATTTTAAAAATAATGTAGCACTTAAGTTTCAAACTCACTCATCTCCCATAACTTTCATTTAAATTAAAAATTATTTTTTAATAATATATGCTTTTAAATAATAGTTATCCAAATACAAACTTATCAACAAGGAAAAAAAAACACTATCACAAAATTTAAAAATATTTGAATTGAAAATCTGTATATAGATAATCTATATCTATGAACAAAATTCAAATTAAAGATAATTTGAATTTGAATATATAATAAAGATAATCTATATTTATCTATCCAATTACACATCTCTCTCCTCCTATATAAACAATTATATTTCAATTGATTATAAACACATACAAAACTATTATGTTACTCGTTCTCTTTCCCCCTCTCTCTTTCTCTCTGTATATAATTTTATATTGTTGTCTAAACACATACAAAACTATTTTGCATTTTTTGTCTAAATTTTATTTTATTTTATTTTTTTGCAGGTGACATCATAAATATAATACCAAACTTGACGGTTAGAAAGTTTTTGAATTTCTTTTTACTGCATTAATGTTGAATATTATGTACCAAAATTGCAACAAAAAAAAATGTGCAAGAAAATTATTTATTTGTATCATTCTCATAATGACTTTTCCACCAAACTAAACAATTCTTTCCTATTTGAGAATTTCAAAGTAATTTAACTTGGTCATTGAGTGTCTACTATATTCTTTTTTTAGCCGACATTTGTGCTTTTTGTTGTAGTGTTTATATGTTTTTATGTAATATTTATTTTTTAATAAGAAACTTGAATAATTGAGTCTTTTATTTTGTTTTATTTGTGAGTTGGCAGTAGAATATTATTTTTATAGTGGTACTACATATACCAATTAATATACACACTAGTGTACCAACTAATATTATGTCATTATTACTGACCCCACCTATTATACTAATTACATATACCCAGAACTTCTAAAATTATGCCAGATGATTTATTAATATACTAGTTAGTATATTAATTAGTACATATAGCATTATTCTTGTTTTTATGATAGTAAAACATAATTGTCAATTAAATAATACTTATTAATGTTTCACTACAGTGATTTTTGATTTATTTGTTTATTTAATTGAATTATTTTTTATATTTTTAGTTATCAAAATCTCATCAAAAATAAATAATAAAAGACAATTAATACGAATAATATTAATTCAATAACCCTAACACATAATATATTTTGTAATATTATTTTTAAATCACATAGACCTGTGCATAACACACTCCTTCATAGTATACAAATATATGGTTCACGGTCCATATTGTTCACCAAGATTTATTCCATTTCCGTTCTGCCTCTCCTCTATAAAACAAGACAAGTCTCCCCCACAATATTTGGAGAAACTCAGTCAAATCACATCCCTGCTAAATTTACCCAAAACACAATAATGGCTTCTCTTCCATTCGCACCTCTCCTTCTGAACCTTCTTGCTTCACTGATATTTCTTCTCCTAATCTCACCCTCGCATTCACTAAAATGCACGTCACAGACCTTCACAAACAAAAAGCTCTACACAAACTGCACCGACTTACCCTACCTAAGCGCGTACCTCCACTGGACCTACGACTCCACCAAATCCACACTCTCCATCGCCTTCATCGCCCCTCCCGCCAAATCCAACGGCTGGATCGCCTGGGCCATCAACCCCACCGGCACTGGCATGGCCGGTGCTCAGTCTCTCATCGCCTTCAAGCAATCCAGCGGCTCGATGACGGTCAACACGTACAACATTAGCTCTTACAGTTCGATCGTGAAATCGAAGATCGCATTCGATGTTCCCGAGAAGAGCGCCGAGTACTCCGGCGGTGTAATGAAGATCTTCGCCACTCTGAGATTGCCGAAGGACACGGCGTCTGTGAATCAGGTGTGGCAGGTTGGTGGTGCAGTGGATCATGGAATACCAGTGAAGCATGCGTTTGAGGCGGTCAATTTGAACGCCAAGGGAACCCTAGATTTGGTGAGGAGTGCCGCTAGTAACGCTCCGGCTCCAAGTGAAGGACCGAGTACTAATGAAAATGTAGGGGTTTCAAGGATTGGAAACTGCAACTTTTGCTTGATTTCTATGTTGTTATTTCTCGCTAGTTTTGTGATTCGTTTTTAGTTTCCTTCTACTCTTCATACAAAATCATTTGAATTATTAGAGGAGGATTATTGCTATTTGAGGGACGATTATCTTTCTCCATATATCTATCGCTCGTTCAGATAAAGATTTTCCCTTTTCTTCTTCTTTTCTCTTCTTTTCTCGTCAAGGCGTTTTTAAACTGATGTGATCATCTCAGCAAATTGAGATTTTTTTTTTAATTAAAAATGCTATTCATACATAAAATTGATAAAAAAAAAAATATTATGAGACTCCATTTGTTTAGTAAATTAAATTAAATCATTTATTTAACCAATTAAGTTAAATAAAATTATGTACACAATAAAATTAAGTGATGAAATTATTAATGTCAATAACAAACAAAAGTGAAATTATTAATGGTGGTTTTAGGTTAGAGAAAGTGTGTTTGTTTTGTATTAGTATGATAATATTAGTTAGCTGAGATTAAATTTACAAAATTACTTAAAAACTCCAACACATATCATAGAACTTTGTTTGTTTTGTAAAGTAGATGACAAAATGGTCTTTTAACCACCAATTAACGTGTGGGGATTAGCAATTCTAACCCTCTCATAAGAATGCTAGTCCCACCATTGAAGGGACTCATACTCCTATGAGATTGCTAATCATATACCATTTTGTTATATACAAACAAGGACTAGGTGTGGATCTTACAAATTGCTATTCTAATTCCCTTCTCAAACCTCCAATTAAACACGGCCTAAGAGTGATGTGGTGGTCATATTCTCATTTGGAACTATAAGTGTTGTTTTGATGGCTATGATATAGAATTCATGCAGTGGAATTAAAATAGCAAGATGAGTAATACTAGACATAATGAAAAAAATATCATAAAAAGTTTTATCAAGATTATTCACTCTTGGATTACGCATTTAATAAAATACTGCATACTAATCAAAAGATAAAAAAATTTTATGAAATATTTTATGATATTTCTTTCATGATACCTAACATTATTGATAGCAGGATACACCCAATTTCACCTTCAATGAGGCATTGGATTCCACAGCATTTACTAATTTGGATTTATGATTCTAGAGATTGTAGGTTTGTATGAATAGTTTTTCTTTTTTTTTTAAGTACTTAATGAGCAAGTATTATGATGATCAAAATTGCATAAACAATTGTTATGATAATCCGACTTGTAGTGGTAAAGATATATGAAACCAAAAAGTATAATTAATTGTTTCTACAGACAATCAATGTATACATATTCAAATATTAAAATAATTTAAATAAAGGTATCTTAAATAAATACTTACATTGACTTAAATATAATTATTAAGCCACCATTAACTGATCCGATAATTTAGCTAATGACCCTTTTTTTTTTTTTTTTTTTTTTTTTTTTTTTATCAGCAAAGAAAAATTTCATTTAACAGCATGAAATTAAAGGTACAGGAAGATGACATATATCGAGAGAGATTCGGAAGTATAAAAATACCCCTACTACTGCTACTCGCACCCATACAACCAACCCCTAAGCCTCTCGATTTTTTTAAACAACCAAGTTAAGAAGAATTTAACTGAAAAATTAAACTACATGAATCCCCACATAATTATCCCACCAAAACCCCCAAAACAAACTAAACAGAAACTAAACAACACCCCAGCAGCCCCAACCACCCAAAACAAAATCTAGTCTAATCTAGTCAACCCACCAAATCAAAGCAACAGACCACGCCTCTGCCAAGACCCACTCCACCTGCTGCTACAACTCCCAAAGCCCCACACCTTAGCTGCTAGCTCACGCTACCCCTAGGCTACTGCAACTCCCATCTCCCCATGCCCACACCGGCCGAGAATACTCCATAGCCACCACCGGGAAAACTCCATGCTTCAACACCCCTACTACAACACAAGAAAACTCCAAGCTGCTGCAACTCCGCTGCTGAAGACAACTACACCCACTGCCAGGAAGACTCCAAGCTTCAACACCCACTACCGATGACACCACACCCACAGATCACCACCCCCTGCAGAAAACACAACACCCACTGCCACCACACCCACATAACATCTCCCACCAGGTCACCAAACAAATGAAAGAAGATCACCCCTCAAACTCTTACACAAAGTGGAGCGCTCGAGTGACAACCAGACAGAACAGGACGACCCCTCAAACTCTGAACCAGAATGCACCCCTCAAGCTCCAACTCGCCAAAAGCGCACGAATGAAATATCTGAACGACTGAGGACAAACCTGGACGGCCCCGAAGAAGACCCTGGACAGCAAAGAAAGACACACCTAGGTGGAGAAAATGGGGGACTCAAGTTTATTGAACGAAAAAACTAACAGGCAAACCGAAACGAGCTAGGCCAGCCGACCGCCATAGCCAAAGGCGACGGCCAGCCGGCCAAAAAAGAGGCCGGGGAAGGAGGTTTTTAGAGAGAGAGAGATAGAGAGAGAAAGGGAAGGAGGTTCTGGAGCTCCTACATGACTGCACAGCTAATGACCCTTAACCCAATTATTTTTCATGTTTGACCACCAAATCCGAGTTTCAAAACATTGGTTGTGCCCATACATTTGGGGCTTGTTTTGTGGATAAATGGGGCCTCAAAATTGGCCATTTTGATGGGCCTTTGCCTTCTTCGAGGGCCTTGCAATTCATTTCGGCCCTTTTGGGCTACGGACTGAGAGTTCCAAGTCACTGAGAAAGTTGGGCTTTTATTTCGAGATGTGACAAGTCATTGGAGGGTTGAGCTTTAGGGGCGAAGTCATAAGCCTGTTTGGTAGAACTGTGGGAAAGTGCTTATACCTTATACCTTAACAGCTTATAGTTTATAACTATGAACATAAACTGATTTATGACTTATAAATTAAGCTTCTCCTGCCCCACTCAAAGAATAAGTTGATTTCTGACTTACAAAAAGTTATAAGCTGTATTGTTAAGCTAAACCAAATAAATCAAAATAACTTAAATTAAGCTGAAAGCTGAAAGCTGAAATAAGCTGAAATTAAGCTGTACTAAACAGGGCCATAGAAGGTTTGGGATTTTGTATCAAAGAGATCAGACATGTTTTTTTGGGAAATGTTATGTTGTGTAATGTATACTGTATATAATTTTAATACAAAATTATATAAGTTTTTACCAATTTATATAAATAATCTTACAAAAATACATAAGTTAAATACAAATTCAAATAAATTCGTGAAAACTTATGTAATTTTGTAAATTTACGTGAATTTATATTTAATTTTTATATTTTTATGAGATCACTTATATAAATTTATAAAAATTTATGTAATTTTGTGTTAAAAATTATATACGGTGTGCACTAAATTTTTTTTCTAGTAGGTTCTTTAGCTTTTGTGCATCAAGTCATAGAGGGCTTGGGCTTTGACGTCAAAAACATGTATGATCGTTGGGCTTTTGTCATACCAAGTCATAGAGGGCTAAGGCATTTGTAGTCCGAATGTCGAATGCTGATTATGGTGTTGGAACTGGTCCTTCTCCGTCGGCCTCACCATAAGGACAATTTCTAAATAATCGAATATCGAATGCCGAATGTTATCTGAATGCCGTATGGCCTACTTACATTGAGTGTAATGGTTATATATATATATATATATATATATTGGTTAATTTCACTTAATGAAAATAGATAAATGATTTACATTGAAAATAAATTACAAAATTAAGATTTAAATTGATAGAATAAAAAGAACAACGGTTTATTTTGTTATAAGAATCAAACTTTATTATTATTTTTTTATTATTATAATTTTTTTAATATTTTATTATTCTAATATAATATTATTTTTGCTAATAAATAGAAAATTGAAATATAGGGCACATACCAACTTTAAAGGTTTTATTATTATGAGTCCGGATCATCGGTCGCACTTCCCTGCAGCCCTCCCTGCCGCGGTCTCCAAAACGACGTCATTTTGTTTAGTGTTATAATTATTCCCCCCCCCCAAAAAAAAAAATTTTGAGCTTTCTGCCCACTTTCATTTTGGGGATTTGGTGTAGTGGTCTGAACAGTTAGGGAATCAAAGAGCTCGGTGGTGGTGCGGAAGGATGAGGCGGAGTAGAGGTTGGAAGTGGTGGAGGTGGAGAAAAGAATGAAGAAGATGAGGCGAGAGAATCGGAAGCCAAGGACGAGGCTGATGAGGTAGCAGAGGTAGTGGAGGACTGGCAGAATATAGCCGCGGGAAATTTGATTCCGCTATCTAGAGACGCATCCAGCGGCGGTGAGCCTCTGAATCTGTTGTTCCGGTAGTTGATGTAGCAATGCTACAATGCAGACAGCTTCATTTTTCTCTCTTCTCTGCTATTACCAACACAAAGAGAGAGAGAGGGTTGATGGTGGAATGGAGATATATGATGTGGGTATAGAGAGTTATTTGTGAGTTCCTCCCTTTGAAGTTTGGACTTTGATTTGGGGTTTGTTGAGAGAGAGAATGAGAAGGTTGGGGGAAGGGAATAGCGGAGCTGTGGGGTGGTTGGTGGATATAGGTAAACGAAAGAGGCTAGAAAAAAAAAAATCAAAACGATGTTGTTTTGAAACGAGGCAAGAAGGGCCGCAGAGAAGTGCGGCCGACAATCTAGACTCTAACTACTAGTACTATGAGAGGAGTCCAAATCATCGGCCACACTTCTCTATAGCCCTTTTTGTTGCGCTTCAAAACGACATCGTTTTGAATTTTTTTTTTCCAACCCCTTTTCGTTTACCTATACCCACCCACCATCCTCTTCTCTCTCTCTCTCTCAACAAACCCCAAATCAAAGTCCAAACTTCAAATGGAGGAACTCACAAATAACTCTCCATACCCACATCATCTATCTACATTCCACCATCAACCCCTCTCTCTCTCTCTCTCTCTCTCTTCTCTGTTGGTAATAGTAGAGGAGAAAGAAAAATGAAGTTGTCTGCATTGCAACAAAGCTACATCAACCGCCAGAACAATAGATTCAAAGGCTTATCGCTGTTGGACACGTCTTTAGACGACGGAATCAAATCTCCAGCGGCTATATTCTGGCAGTCCTTCACTACCTTTGCTGCCTCATCAACCACATCCTTGGTTTCCGATTCTCTCGCCTCATCTTCTTCCTCCTCTTCTCCACCTCCACCACTTCCAACCTTTACTCCACCTTATCCTGCACCGCCACCTAGC